CAGTTGTCTTAGGTTGGCATATTAGCTTATTAATTTGGGATCTTTCTTTCTTGTAGGCATTGACAGCTATAAATTTCCCTCTAAGCATTACTTTTTCTTTTTTCATTTATTTATTTATTTATTGAGACAGGATCTCGCTCTGTCACCCAGGCTGGAGTGCAGCGGCACCATCGTGGCTCACTGAAGCTGCAGCCTCCTAGACTCGAGGGATCCTCCCATCTCAGCCTCCTGAGTAGCTGGGACTACCTGTGCATGCAACCACACCCAGCTCATTTTTGTATGTCTTGATGGGGTTTTGCCATGTTGCTCAGGCTGCTCTCAAACTCCTGAGCTTAAGTAATCCTCCCAAAGTGCTGGGATTATAGGCATGAGCCACTGCACTGGCCCTCGAAGCGTTACTCTAGCTGCATCTTCATTCTCCTTCATCTCCAAGTCCGTTCCCTTCCGATTTCGTTTGGCCTCTTGATTTTCTAAGGATATGTTTAATTTCTACATATTTGTGAGACTCCCAATTTTTTCGTTATTCATTTCTAGTATTTTCTCGTGGATGGGGATTATACTTGTCTTACTTCTATCCTTATAAAGTTATTGAGGTTTGTTTTATGGCCTGGTATGTGGGCTTTTCTAGAGACCGTTCCATGTGTACATTGAAAGAAATATATCCTGAGCTGTTGGGTGAAGGGTTCTGTAGACATCTGTGACGTCCGTTGGCTTACAGTGTTCACATCTTCGGTTTCCTTGACTCTCCTGTGTAGTTGTTCTCTCTGTTATTGAAAGTGGGGTATTAATTAGCTGGGCGTGGTGGCAGGTGCCTGTAATCCCAGCTATTCGGGAGGCTGAGGCAGGAGAATCCCTTGAACCCAGAAGGCAGAGGTTGCAGTGAGCCGAGATTGCACCACTGAACTCCAGCCTGGGCGACAGAGCAAGAACTCCTGTCAAAAAAAAAGTTACGGAATGTCTATTTCTGTTTCTGTTTTTCTTTAGCTTTTGCTTCATTTGCTTGTTGCTATATTATTGGTGCATATGTTTTAATTGTTGTGTCTTCTTGATGGATTGACTTTCTCGTTATATATTATCTCTAATGACACTCTTTGAAGTGGGCTTTGTCTGTTAGTATAGTCATTCCACCTTTCCTGTGGTTGCTCTTTAGATGATGTCTCTTTCCCCATCTTTTTCCATTGTATCTATTTCTCCCTTTGAATCGAAAATATGTCTCCTATAGACAACATACAGTTCAGTTATTTTTAAAAATCCAGTCTGCCTTTGGATTGTTCATTCCATTCACATCGAATGTTATTCAGTCATACAGTTGGGTTTGTGTCCGCCATCTTATTTTCTGCTTCACGTGATACAGTTGGGTTTGTGTCCGCCATCTTATTTTCTGCTTCACGTGATACAGTTGGATTTGTGTCCGCCATCTTATTTTCTGTTTCATGTGATACAGTTGGGTTTGTGTCCGCCATCTTATTTTGTGTTTCACTTGATACAGTTGGGTTTGTGTCCACCATCTTATTTTCTGCTTCACGTGATACAGTTGGGTTTGTGTCCGGCATCTTATTTTCTGTTTCACGTGATACAGTTGGATTTGTGTCCGCCATCTTATTTTCTGCTTCACTTGATACAGTTGAGTTTGTGTCCGGCATCTTATTTTCTGTTTCACGTGATACAGTTGGGTTTGTGTCCGCCATCTTATTTTCTGCTTCACGTGATACAGTTGAGTTTGTGTCCAGCATCTTATTTTCTGTTTCACGTGATACAGTTGGGTTTGTGTCCGCCATCTTATTTTCTGCTTCACTTGATACAGTTGAGTTTGTGTCCCGCATCTTATTTTCTGTTTCACATGATACAGTTGGGTTTGTGTCCGCCATCTTATTTTCTGCTTCACATGATACAGTTGGGTTTGTGTCCGCCATCTTATTTTCTGCTTCACGTGATACAGTTGGGTTTGTGTCCGCCATCTTATTTTCTGTTTCACGTGATACAGTTGGGTTTGTGTCCGCCATCTTATTTTCTGTTTCACGTGATACAGTTGGGTTTGTGTCCGCCATCTTATTTTCTGTTTCACGTGATACAGTTGGGTTTGTGTCCGCCATCTTATTTTCTGCTTCACGTGATACAGTTGGGTTTGTGTCCGCCATCTTATTTTCTGTTTCACGTGATACAGTTGGGTTTGTGTCTGCCATCTTATTTTCTGCTTCACGTGATACAGTTGGGTTTGTGTCCGCCATCTTATTTTCTGTTTCACGTGATACAGTTGGGTTTGTGTCTGCCATCTTATTTTCTGCTTCATGTGATACAGTTGGGTTTGTGTCTGCCATTTTATTTTCTGTTTCACGTGATGCCTTTACTAACAGTATTTATGTTGATTCAGATTATTATCTGGGTCCCCTGCCTTCAGCCTGAAGAGTTTTCTTTAGCATTTCTTATGAGGCAGGTCCTTTAGCAATAAATTCTCTCAATTTCTGTTTCCCTGGGAAAGTGTATATTTTTCACTCTCATTTTTGAACATGACTTTGCTGGATATAGAATTCTTGCTTGACAGGGTTTTTTTTTCCCCTTTGAGCACTGTGGATATGTTATCCCACTGCCCTCTGGCTTGCAATCTTTCTGCTGAGAAGTCAGCTGCATATCTGTTGAGGTTCCCTTGTGAGCAAATCTTCATCTTCATTCTGCTCTTGCTCCTTCAATACTTTTTCCTTGCCTTTGACCCTCATTACTTTTATTATGATGTGTCCATATGCAGGTCTCTGTGTTTATCCTACGTGGACTTCACTGAGCTTCCTGGATATGTAGTTATTGGTTTTTTTCAGCCATTATCTCTTTGCATATTTTTTCTTCTCCCTTCTCTCCCTCTCCTTGACTAGTCCCATTATGCATCTGTTGGTGCAGATAATGGTGTCCTGTGTTTCCTGAGGCTCTGTTTGCTTCTTTTCTCTCTGTTCTTCAGCTTGCATTGTTCCTGTCACACCATCTTCATGTTTGCTAATTCTTTTTTCTGCCAGTTAAAATCTAGTGTTAAACTTTTCTAGTGATTTTGAAATTTTTTAATTTCAATTATTGCAGTCTTCAGTTCCAGAATTTCCATTTGGGTATTTTTCTAAATGTCCATCTCTTTACCAATAGTCTCTATTTATGGCATTTCCATTTATGCTTCCTTTAGTTTTGTGAACATGTTTATAGTCGCTGCTTTGAAATCTTATTCTGTTAAATTTGACATTTGGTCACTCTCAACAGCAGTTTCTATTGCTTTTCCAAACGTATGAGTCATATTTTCCTTTTTATTGTTTCCCTCCCTCCCTCCTTCCTCCTACCTTTCTTCCTTCTTTCCTCCCCCGCTCCCCCCCAACATATCTTGTCATTCTTTGTTGGGAACTAGACATTTTAGACAGATATTCTAGCACTTTGGGTACTCCCCAGTCCTGAGCCTATACTCACTGGCTGGGTTACTGTTGTGTTACCTCCATGCCCGTCTTCCTCTCCAGCAACAGCCTCTGTGTGCCACAGGCACCCTAGGATGACAGGGTCTTGGGAGCAACCTCTTCCTCTCGCTCGCTGACCACAGCCATTAAACTCCTAGTAGCCAGCTGAGAGCTGTTACTCCTCTACAACCTGATGGTATGGCCACTCCTTCTCAGTGGTTTCTGAGTCTGATACTGTTCTGACCCCAGCAGGGCTCCTGCCGGCTGTCTTATCCCCTCATTCTCCAGCACACTAGCCAGCCTGCAGTCTAGGTTACATGGTCAGCAGACGAATGAATCTCCTGAGTCCCTTCACCACCACCTCCAGGAGTTTTGAGTTTATACCTTAGGTATAAACTTCTTCATGTTCTGTTGCAAATGAAGTCAGTTCCTTTGAGAAGAGAATATTTCCTGCATGTAGCTACCTCCAGGCAAAAATCTCTGAACCAGGGATTTGGGGGATGGGGACAATGGCAAGCCTCAGTGTGAATGACACACCCTCTCTCGGAGCTGGGAACTTTAATGGTGGAGGGGGGCAGCTCCTTGAGACCCCATCAGCCTCTCCTGGCCTGGAATCACTCCCCTGTGAGCTGGGGCCAGGGCAGTCAGGTCCTATCTTCCCAGGGCCAGCCTCCCACCCAGGACAGTGGGGACTGGACAGGAGGAGGGAACCCTCACCCCTCCACCAGCCTCCCCGAGGAGCAGAATGTGAGATGGTGATGTCTGCCTCTTCCTGGGGAAGAAGCCCCCACAACTGGGAGCTGGGGTGGGGGAGCTAGGGGACGCTGTTGCTGTGGCTGCAGCCGCAGCCATTCCACATGAAGTCTCTGGTCAAGCTGAGGGGAGGACGCAGTCTTGACACAGATGTCACCTTTCCTACAGAATTTTCCAAGATTTTTTTTTTCTTTTTCTTTTTGAGATGGAGTTTCGCTCTTGTTACCCAGGCTGGAGTGCAATGGCGCTATCTCGGCTCACCGCACCCTCCGCCTCCTGGGATCAGGCAATTCTCCTGCCTCAGCCTCCCGAGTAGCTGGGATTACAGGCATGTGCCACCTTGCCCAGCTAATTTTTTGTATTTTTAGTAGAGACGGGGTTTCACCATGTTGACCAGGAAGGTCTCGATCTCCTGACCTCGTGATCCACCCGCCTCGGCTTCCCAAAGTGCTGGGATTACAGGCGTGAGCTACCGCGCCCGGCCCGACGATTTCTTAAATGTTTCTTATGCTGTTTGCTCTCAAGACCATTTCCCGAGACGTTAAAAGATCAGGGGTTTTAACTTTATTATTCTTACCAGTTTCCTGGGTCAGCTAAGCGCATCGGCTCTCATGCCGGAAGTGATCACCATTCAATCTTGTGGGGTTTTTTTCCCCTTATTTATTTATTTAACAGGAATTGGGCCTGTCAATATCCCTTGCGCCTGCTTCCTGGGCTGGGGCGAGAAGGGTGGAGGAGGAAGGGTGGCCTGGAGGACCCCCCTGTGCTGCGGAAGGTGGGGCGCAGTCCCTGGCCCTAACCCCAACCCTGCATCCCCTCTCCCCGCAGGGCGAGTGCTCCCCCAAGTGCCGCAGCCTGTTCGTGCTGGAGACCGTGTGCGTGGCCTGGTTCTCCTTCGAGTTCCTGCTGCGCTCCCTGCAGGCCGAGAGCAAGTGCGCCTTCCTGCGCGCGCCGCTCAACATCATCGACATCCTGGCGCTCCTGCCCTTCTACGTGTCGCTGCTGCTGGGGCTGGCGGCGGGCCCGGGCGGGAGCAAGCTCCTGGAGCGCGCGGGGCTGGTGCTGCGGCTGCTGCGAGCGCTGCGCGTGCTCTACGTGATGCGCCTGGCACGCCACTCACTGGGGCTGCGCTCGCTGGGCCTGACCGTGCGCCGCTGTGCGCGTGAGTTCGGGCTGCTGCTGCTGTTCCTGTGCGTGGCCATGGCGCTCTTCGCGCCGCTGGTGCACCTGGCCGAGCGCGAGCTGGGCGCGCGCCGCGACTTCTCCAGCGTGCCCGCCAGCTACTGGTGGGCCGTGATCTCCATGACCACCGTGGGCTACGGCGACATGGTCCCGCGCAGCCTGCCCGGCCAGGTGGTGGCGCTCAGCAGCATCCTCAGCGGCATCCTGCTCATGGCCTTCCCCGTCACCTCCATCTTCCACACCTTCTCGCGCTCCTACTCCGAGCTCAAGGAGCAGCAGCAGCGCGCAGCTAGCCCCGAGCCGGCCCTGCGTGAGGACAGCACGCGCTCGGCCACGGCCACCGAGGACAGCTCGCAGGGCCCCGACAGCGGGGGCCTGGCCGCCGACTCTGCGGACGCACTGTGGACCCGGGCAGGGCCCTGACGCCGGCACCGCCCACACGGAGACCCCTCCACAGCAGCTGCAGCGTAGGGAACCCGGAGGCGCGCGGGGCATCTGGCCCGGGGGAGCGGGTCCTGCAGGCCTCGTCCTCGGCCCTCATGCATGAGCAGCCCCAGAACTCGGTGGACCCCGGCCTGGAAGCCACTGGCCTGTGACCTCTTGCCCCTCTCCTTTCCATGGATTTTTAATTTTTTATGCCTAGTTAAAAAATTTAGTAAGTCCCAGAAATTCCACGCCTGTTGTAGATGACTTGGTTCCCCCTCTGACCGTTCCTGCCTTCCAGGGAGAAGTGGGGAGCACGGCCCCCCTCAGGCCCCCCCCACCCCCCGCACCCAGAATGGGCAGGTCCCTGCAGGAGGCGGCCCTGGGCATCCAGCTCTGCCCACATCCCCTTCCCAGGGATGGGACAGAGGTTGGACGCTGACACTCACAGTCCCCTAGTCCGCCCCAGTAACTGCCCTTTCCAGGATTGGGGCAGGGGGCTCCAGCCCTGACCTCTAACGTCCATCCCCTGACACACTTTCCCTAGGGAATCTTAGAGGCCTGACCTCCGGGAGGGTACCTCCTACACTCCCTTCTTCGCACCGTTTGCGTGTGGCATTGTAACCCTTCCAGGGCCTATGGGACCGTGACCTTATTCTTCTGGGACACCTCCTGTCCCCAACAGGAGTGTTTCCTTGGGGCTTCATTCAGATGGAAGAACTGCCCTGCCCTCTGGATGAGGCTGTGGAGGAAGCGGCTGAGATTCCTCGGGGCACCTGCGGGGACAGGCACCAAAGCTCGGGCCTCTCCCCACAGGTGGAGAGGAAGGAACTTTCCACTTCACGCTGCTCTATATGCATTCACTTTAGTGAGTTCAGCCAGGAGACCTGAGACGTGACCACAGTCTGAAGCGGGAGAGGGACACATCACCTGGAGGGTCCCACCTTCCATTACAAGGCAGCTAACGCAGGGCCCCTGGCACGGGGCAGTGGCTGGGAGAAGGGGAAGCTCATTTCCTGGCTCTGTGGGAACCCAATGCAAACCACCCCCTGCTCCCACACGGCTTGCGGCGGAGCTCCTCTCGGTGTCCTGTGGTCTTTGGGGTCTGCCCTGGAGCCTGGTACTCCTCGGCCCGAAAGAGATTTCCTTCCATGATGGGGGAGTCAGGAGGAACCGCCAGGGCGCCTGAGCGTGATGTCCATGCACTCAAGGCCTGGTTTTGCAGATCTGCGTCCACAGCAGCAAGCCCATCTCCCCTTCCTGTGGCTGCACAGAATGGCCAGTCTGCCACTGGTCCCCAGCTCCCCGGCAGGGCTGGGTGCTTTCGGGATGCCAAGAGGAGACCCCAGGGCTGGAATGGGCTGGGAGAGGCCTGAGGGGCCACCATGATGCTGCCTCAGCTCCCGGCAGCACACAGCACTTGGCTCCTCCAAGTGTCAAGGCTTTGGGACAAGGGACAGGGGTCCAGGATGCAGGGAAACTGAAATACCTTGGTCTTATCAGCGATCGTTCCTCCAGGGTCAGGTGGGCGGACGCCAGTGTGCAGGAAGCCCTGCTTCTTCAGGGATCCTCACCTCAGCGCCTCGGGCAGAAAAGGCTCCCGTCATTCACACGGGGAAACAGAGCAGTGCAAGATCAGCCAGGCAAGATGTGGCTTTCAGGCCTGAAACCTGCCCACCGCCCTGGCACCACGCTTGAGTAGAGAGAGCCCTGGGGCTGCACCGCCGCCTCTCCCTGGGGCTCACTGTGGGGGCCCTGCAGGGCTCGGGGCTGGCTGAGCACCTGCCCAGGCTTCTGGCCTCCCTGGGGCACAAACCCCTCCCGGACCAAGGCCACAGGAGTCTGTAAGGGACACAGCTGTGGACAAAGAGCAGGAGACGGGCATGACCCGGGTGAGTGCCGAGCCTCTTCTCCATGGCAGGGCCTGCAGCAGCCACTGGGACCACCGGGGCTCAGACCCGCCTCCCCCAACCAGGTCAGCTGGGGCCCCAGGTGCCCATGACACTGGCTGGGCCCAGGGCCCCGGACACACAGCGGGGCACCTGAGGCCTGGCAGCACACTGGGGGCTGCCTCTCACAGTGACAGCTTTGGGTCTTGCTCAGGAATGGGCAGAGCTTAGTACTGGGCTGAGAGGCCTGGGCAGAGGACCGCCCAAGGGGCCACATGCTAAGACCAGCGCCCCCCACCCTCTGCTGCTCATCCCACCCTCTACTGGTGACCCCAGGGACAGGATTCCTTCTGTGTGGTGAGGTGCTGACCACCACAAAGACCCCCAGAAACAAACCCAATTTGTTCTCCCTCGGAGGGCTGGGTCAGAGGTGGGGAGTGACGGGGATGGGGTCTCAGACCTGCCCCTCCCCATCCTGGGCTGCAGAGTCTGGCCAGGGAGCCCTGGAGCCCTCCAAGACCAGGGTCCCCCAGAGGCCACCCTGGGCCACCAGGATAGGGTGCTGGGCAGCTGTGCTGAGACAGGTGGCACATTTCCACCCAGCCCCAGGCTTCTTTTTCACTCTACAGGTGCCCCGTGGGTCAGCCTCCCACACAGGCCTCAGGAAAGGGCACAGCTGGAGCTCAGCGGGCCTCAGTGTCCTCGTGGGGCGAGGGGAACGTGAACTTCCCAGGCTCCCATGACCTGCTCTCCCACAGAGAGGCCCTCCTTAGCCTCCTCCTTCCCTGGTGCTTCTCTGTTGATTAAAGCCATCCAAAGGCATCACAGGGCGGCAGCAACCTGAGAGTTTAGAAACACAGTGGTTCCCCTCTGGCCCAGCCCCCGCCATGCAGGGCTGAGACCTTGTTCCCATTTCCTCACTGTTATAACGGGTGGCCCACAGTGGTCCCTGTCTCCCACCCCCGCACTAGATCTCTGGTTCATGTGGCACCATCCACCACTTGAGGGCGGTGATTTGTGTCCCAGATGTTCCAGACACAGTGGCCTTAATCTCCACCTTCCCTCAGGGATGCTGGCTGGATATGGACCATGCCCTCTCCTCGCATCCAGATGCGCCTCAACCCAAACCCTGCCCTGCACCTCCACCCACACAAGAAGCTCACATGTTGCATCCACTGAAAACACTGCACAGAAAAAAATCACTGTGCACACAGCTCCATCTCTGTGTGCTGCTCCGAGATCGCAAATCTGGAAACACCTCCTTTTAAAGGAGACCCTTCCCATGCTTTAAGGCTTTGGTGGTGGGAGGGAGAAGGCAGGTGTGGCAGCCGCAGAGGCCAAAGCAGCTGAGGCAGCGCCAGACCCGCCCATGAGCAGCCAAAGGACCCGTGGCCCGGTCCACAGGCACAGGCAGTGACACGTCCCAAGGGGGCTGGGCTGTCATCTGGGTGTTTAGGAGGAGCCCAGGTCGCACGGGACCTCCTGAGGTGCCAGAGCCCAGGCCGGCACCAGATCCCTCCCCCTGCCTGGGGCCCACTCACACCACACGGGATCCACAAACGGTTTATTGATTCCAAGTCACCACAGGGGTACATTCAGCAGTCACCGCGCCTGCAATCGGTGACGTTTTAATGTGAGGCAATTACCGCTACAGACATCTTGCTTCATCTTAAAAAAATAAAAATTTTCAAAGCATCTCACAGGCCAGAGAGCTAAGCAGGACCCTCACTCAGACATTCAAGTTTTTCTGAGGAAACTCAGGAGGAGGAGGAGGCCGCCTGGAGCATCTCCCCATGGCCACAGCCACTGCCCGGCAGAGAGTTTAAATGCCTGTGGGAAGCGGCCCCTCCGCCTGCGGAAGGGAAGACGATGCCTGTTGGAGCCGCACGGAAGCATCCAGAACTCTGAGGCCTGGGAGCCGGCCGCAGTCAACGCAGTGCTGCTGACACGGTGTGACCTCGAGTTAAACTGAAAATGGGGTGGAGGCAGAACACGGGGTGACAAGGGTCAGACCAGTGGCTCCCACTGCAGCCAGAACTGCAGGAGCCGGCACACGGGGGCGGGCAGTAGACAGGGGACAGGTGACAGGACCCAGCAGGGCTCCGCACTCCCACTCAGGAATTTGCTTCAGGCCAAAAGCCCAGGACGGCACGGCGAGGGGCCATCAGCCAGGACCAGCCCCCTCCACTTCCTGGACCGAGGCCATCTCTCTCCTGGAAGACAGCTAAGCTGCATCGGGTGAAGCACTCGGTGCCCAGAAGGAAGCTCCTGCGCCAGAGGCGCTCAGGGGTGGCGTGCGGGCTGCGTCTGCACAGCCTCAGCCCGGCGCCCTCAGCCTTAGCCCACCAGGGTCTCCACATTGTCTGACAGTAGCCGGCATTTGCCATGTCCCCAAGGACTTGAGGAGAAGCAGAGGCTCTGACAAGAGCAGCCTGAGCTTGCTCTGGCGATGCCCTGCCGGGCTGGACACAGCGGAGCCTCAGGGCATCTGGGCCTGGCTGTGCCTCCAACTGCTGGGACAGCAGGAGCAGGTGACCCTGCGTCCCCACAGCTGCCTTTCCATGTGTGCCAGGCAGAGAAAGCCCCGGCCTGCCCCTGTGCCGGCCCCTAGCAGCAGAGGCCCCCCTTCGTCCAAGCAGGGGATCCGGCCAGTGCCTTTCGAGGTTGAGGGCTCTGCTCACAGGACTTGCTTCACGGCTCGAGGCTGCTGGCCCCTATGTCCACCTGGAGCAGGGTCCTGTGGGCTGCCTTCTGCCTCCCCACATGTACCTCCGGCTCAGGTGTTTCGTGAGAGGAAACAGGAGAAACACTTGCTTTCTATATCACCCTAAAAACACCCGAAACCCAGCCCTCGGGGTCAGATCTACCCTGGCCGGCCCCGTTGAGCACAAACAGCATCCCAGCCCCGCCCCCACTGCCCTCCCAGAGAGACCCCGCAGAGGCTAACAGAGACCCTGACACCAGGACTCCATCTCCCCCACACCTGCAGGGGCCACAGCACCCACCCTCCCCGTGGGGAGGTCAGGTCCCACCAGTGCCCAAGGCTGGCGGTCCCACATCCTCGTCCTCTCCACCCTCAGAGGGCCTTGGTGCTGGCGGGGTGCACGGTGTGAGGCACCGGCTTCTGAGGGTGGCGGGCAAAGGCGTAAGCCTGCCCCAGGATGGCCAGGTCCACCAGCACCTGCAGCAGGCCGCACACGGAGAACTGCAGGGGTGCGCCCTTCAGCAGGAAGTAGGCCGTCTTGAAGGCGTCGCCACTCGTCCACATGAGAACCATCTTGATGCTGCAGAGACACAAGCCGGCAGTCAGCGGGTGACGTGGGGCTCAGGACACCCAGGCACCCAGGGGTTTGAGGGGACAGGCACAGGGTGTCCTATCCAGTCAGTGGGGTGACCTGAGGCTTGGGGACACCCAGGCAGTGGGGTGACCCAGGGGTCAAGGACACCAGGAGGTTGGGGCCACCCCAGGGGGCCACAGGATACACCCTGACCCTGCCTCTCCCACCCAACACCCCGCCCTTCACTTCCCTGTGGCCTCAGGAGCTGCCACCTGGCTGGGGTTCCAGGGGGATCGGACCCAAGAAGAATGAGATCTGCTCGAGACTATGGGGGGGGGAGCAGGGCCTCTGTTGGGCGGCGGCAACTCCGGGAGGGGCCAGGCCTGGGAGGGTGCTGAGGATGCACATCAGGGCCACCGGGCATGCAGCGGATCAGAGCAGCTGCTCTCAGGTCTCTGCTGGCCAGGCCTCCCTCCCTGGTGATTGGTGCAAACCTTCCCTTCCTTGAGTGAACAGGGAGCTCCAGCCGTCACCCACAGTCGTGAGAACACCCTTCCCCAGCGCTGCGTTCGTGCCCTGGCTTGCCTAGCAGTGAACATGAGCACCCCTGCGCTTTCCCACGTGAAATGTTAAGTCAGCAGCCGCTGACCCTTCCACAGCTCCCAAAGCCAGCGGCAGAGCCTGGGCAGGGAGTGCTGCCTTGACAGAGGGGACAAGACACGGCTTTCCCACACCCCGCAGGCTCTGTCCTGCCCCCAAACTAGAGGGGGCACCTGCCCTCTGATGCAGCCTCGGTGCCGGGACTGCCCTGCACGAGGGTCTTCAAGCACAGCTGTGGCTAGGTGTGTGGATCAGGGCAGGAGTCCGCGCTGGAGCTGGGAGCCCGCCGGAAGAGAGGGCTGGTATCTGCACTCTTCTCTCTCTCAAGCCCACAGTGCTCTGTTCTGGGGCATCTTGTTGGCCTCTGAAAACATAAGTCTGGCTTTATCATTACACCCACTGGGAAAAACCAGGAGGCTTTGGGACTGCTTGCACTTGGGTGGGTTTAGCTAAAGTATAATGCTTTCCCTGACCCACAGGGTGATTTTCCTTCCATTTTTTTATTCTCTGAGATACATCTTCCCCCAGATGCAGCTTCAGCTACACAAAATCCAGTCTCCACAGATAAAAAGATGAGGTGGTGCTGGATGGCAGCCAGGGAAGGTGGTGTGGGCACCTGGGCCTCACACACCCCAGCAGTCAGCTCAGGTCCCAGAATCCCTCCCCACCACCACCTCCTTTAGGCCCAAGCAGGGCTGCAGAGCTGACCTGGGGTGGGGCTCCAGGCCCCGGGACCACAGCCCGAGCAAAGGCAACTCATCCACAGCAGGTGCCCAAGCATTGCTCAGTGACTGCCTTTGTCCTGCCCAGCTTCTGGCTGACCCCTCACACCCAGGACGGGAAACAGAGCGATCACCTGATTTCACACACGGCTAAGATTTCCCAGGATGAGTACTTCCTGAGAGCCACAAAGGCGGCCATGCCTGCATCAGGGACAGGCTACTCCCCATGCAAAGCCCATGGCCTTATTTGGCATGCAGGCTCACACTTGAGTTTCAACACTTTTGTTTTTAATCAGTTGACTTAATTCTATGTAAACACACACACACACACACACACACACACACACACACACACAGAGATTCTGGCTTCCCTTGAAAAAGAGCCTTTTCAGATTTTAGACGATGAATCCAATTTCCTTGATATGGACTATCTATTTAATAGCTATTCAAGTTATTTCTTCTTGGGTGAAAGGAATTGGTCCGTTTTATCTAAGATTTCAAATGTATGGGTATGAAGTTGTTCACAGCACTCTTTGAATGCCTGTGGGGTCTACAGACTATCCCCCTCCATTCCAAATACTGGTAATCTGTGTTTTCTTGTCACTCTAGCTGCTGGTTTGTCCACTGATGATTCGTGTCAAAGCAGCAGCTTTGGGTCTCATTTTTTACGCTTTCATTTTTGTTGCCTGGTGTTAGCTCTGCTATTTCCTTCCTTCTGCTCGCGTGGCTGACTTTGCATTTCATTTTCTAGTTCCTCAAGCTTCACTGATGATTTGAGAACTTTCCTTTTCTAAAACCAGGATTTAATGCTACAAAGCTAACTTCAAGCATTGCTTTAGTTGCATCCCACAAATTTTGATATGGTGTTGCATTTTTCAGTTCAAACTATTCTCAATAGTTTAAGACATTCTCTAACAGATTGTTTAAAAGTATATTGTTTAGCCTCTAAATCTTTGGAGACGTAAGATCTATGTCTGCTATTCATTTCTAGCTTAATTACATTACAGTCACAGAAAATACTTTGGATCATTTCAGTTGTTTAAAATAAACTTTCGTGACTTAGCCTGTGGTCTGCGTTGGTGGATGCCCACGGGCGTCTGAAAAGAATGTGTACGTTTGTTCACTTGGTTGCTGGTGGTCAGATTTTCTATATCCTTGCTAATTTCATCTACTTTTTCTATCACTTACTGTGGGGAGCTGGAGTCCCTAACTGTAACTGTGGGCTTGTCTTTGCCTATCCCTTCTGGCCTCTTATGTACTTTGAGGCTCTGTTGTTCATACACACTTAGAACTGTTGTATCTTCTTGGTGAATTCACCTGTTTATCGTGATGCAATGTCTCTTTTTATTCAAGGCAAATGTCCTTTGTCTGATATTAATACAGCTACTCCAAGGTTTGAGTCATATATGGATCGTGTACCTTTGTCCATCCTTTTTTTTAATCTGTCACTGCAAGCCTCCTGGTCAATACATCCCTGCACGCCTGGCATCAGCTATGGGTGTCATTATACTAACAGTGAGTTTTCTGTGTTTCTTTTTAAATTAATCTGAACATCTCTGTCCTTTAATTGGTATGATTAGACCACTTACATTTAATGTTATTATTGGTATGTTTGAATTTAGGTCAACCATTTTTTTTTGTTCTCAAGCTTGTCCCTGCTGTTTTATTCCTGCCTTAAGATTTGAAATTTTTAAAATATCCTATTTTATCTATTTGATTTTTCACTATCTGTACAGTTTTTAAAAATTATTATTATTTTTTGAGACGTAGTCTCACTCTATCGCCCAGGCTGGAGTGCAA